ATTTGTTTGAACCTTGGGTTCAGAACCCTGGTTCAAACTCAGGTTGAACCCAGGTTTGATTTGAACCTGGGTCGAACCCGGGTTGAATCTCGGGGTTCAACTGGGTTCGAACCCAGGTTCAACTTCTTTTTTTCATTCTGTTGTTTTAAGCCACCAAAGGCGTTTTCGTGCGGCTTTCTCCGTTCTTTTACTTTTGTTTTCGTATTCATTCTTGTTTTCTTCGCTTTTTAGCCCACCGAAATTTCGTCTAGTTTCTTCTTTTAGGAAAGATGTCAGGTTCAGTTTCTTTTTTCTTCGTTTTTCTTCGTTTTAAGACACCAAAAGCGTTTTCGTGTGGCTTTCCGCTTTTGTGCGCGGACAAGCCTTGCAGGCCAAGGACAGGGCTTGTTGGCGCAAGCTTGAGCCCGGACCCTGTAGTTCAACCGGGCCCGTCGTTGGGGTTAGGGTTCGGGTCAACTCCAACACTAACACGGACTTGGAATTGTGGTTCGGGCAAACCCCAACGGTTCGGGTTAACCCCAACCCAACCTGTGGATCGGAGTTAGGGTTCGGGTTAACTCCCAACCTTTCTCTGAATCTTTTTGTTTGAGAAAGCGGGAAGTTTGCTGATTGAAAAGAGCAGAGCAGGGCGTGTTCAGGGTCAGGGTTTAACCCAACCCTAACCTTTTGGACCAGGGGTTCGAGTTAACCCCAACCCCAACCTGCGGACCTTGTAATGGTACCGGGGTTCGGGTTATCGTTCAACCCGAACTCGAACCCCAGCCTGAGGGTTTGGGTTTGGGTTCAGCTCGAACCCCAACCCCCCTGCGAAGGCAACCCTGGAACCCGGGTTCGAACCCGAGTTCAACCCGAAGTTCAACCGAGTTCGAACCCAGGTTCACCCAGGTTTGAACCTGCCTCGAGTGTAGAGCATACAGCAGCCCAAGCAATCTAATTGGCCCACTGCCCCGTCTCTTATCTGGACTCCCATCCGTCAAGCAAAGCACGAACAACGCCAGGCGAGTCATCCATGTTCATCGTTGAGGAAATAGAACCGCCTGTCTGCAACGAGCTGCGAGGACAAAGACGTCGCCTCGACAGCAGGTGTGTGCTCGGAAACCACAGAGCATGCCATCATCAAGACGACCCGCCATGAAATTTGTGCAGTTGTGATGCATCGCGCAGGAAGAAGAACGCTTCACTGTAGACCAAACGTGTACTCACCGCTTGAAGCGGTACGAGACTTCTGAACGGAGGTCTATCTCTTCACATCAGCAGCAACGCACCCGCAGTCAATGTTCCTACGCGCATCTTCACATCAGACCACGCTCGTTGAGAAACTTCGAAACCTTCACAACCAAGCTCCAAGACTTCCAGTTGCAAACAAAGGTTCACGAAGTTCTCCCGGTCAAACTTCACTTAAACAAACGTGTTCACAACCTCCACTGTCAAGTCCAGACTACTACATCCCGATGCATTTTCAGGTCTTTCTATGAATAAACTTTGTTTTTGGCTATGATTCTACCACGAACTGTTCCGAAAATCAGAGCACCTCCGAAACTCATTCGACTTTGCCATGGCTGCGGAAACCCTTAGCGCACTCGCTCTCAAAATTTGAGCAAAATGCTGTGCCGCGCTACTTCCATGAAGGCTCTCAGCCCAAGCACAAGGCCAGGAGGCAAAGCCCAGGAAGAGTACACGGTTCATTTATAGCCACCTCCGCAAGGCACATAGCCCGCCCGGTTCCCACCGTTATGGCAGCGAAGGCAGCTGTGGTGGGAGTGAAAAGGCTTGGTATCCTGCAGCGATACCCAGGGCGGCGCAACTGAGCATCTCCGGGTGGCACTGCCGGCGGGTCAAGAATGGATCTGCCCGGAGCCGATGAAGACGCAGCAGCATGTGCCGGACCACCAGGTGGTCCCGAAGAGGAAGCTCCTGACGACTCATTGGACCTAGCCTCGCTTTCAAGCTCCAGCAGCAGGCCAAGATCAAGGACCGCCGCTCCACCGGCTAAGGCACAACGGCTACCCATCAAAGAACCGCACAAGCCTCTTGTACACAAGAGCATAGCGAACACACGGCATGTTTTAGTGCGCTGGCCGCAGAGCATCTCTCCAGGCCATCGGGGCTCTGGCCCAACACTTCTGACAGACTTCGTCAGCATCTTCAAGCCCTACACCCCTATGTACATGCAGGGCATTAAAGATGGAATCACGGCACCACGGAATGAACTGTGACCCTTGCTCAGAGATTGCACCAAATGCTTCTTCCCAGATGCTGTCTGTGCGAACCACGGTAGCTCCGCTGCTGTCTTCTCGTAGCCCTCGTCTGACAAGCTCGAAGAACTGGAGTCCTCGTCCGAAGACTGGGCAATCACCTCGGCTGGCGGAGGCTCAGCAGAATTCGTCCGCACTTCCTCCGATTGCAAATGCTGAAGAATAGCCTCTCTGGTTGGCGCGTGCAACCTTATATCATGCCAAGAACACAGTGCTGGCTGGCCCGATTTCAGCATGGCCGCATGCAGGGTGGCCACGACCTGCTGCTTGACAAATGCTGGCAACGGCAAGCCCACTATGGAACCCCACCACTTAAGGGAAGCAAAGCCATGGCACGAAGCCGTGGGGCCACCTCGGCTGACATATGCCAGGTAACGAGCCACCCAAAAGGCTGTGCCACTGGACCCAGCGCTTGTAGGCCCCGACATGCGATCGCAATCTAAAATCAACCATGTTTCTGAAGCGGGCCGCAAACAGCTCGAAAGCTTCAGCAGCACTTGTCCGAAACTCAGGAACGAACTGCGTATTCTCCGAACCTGAAGCTAGCACGACTTCCAAAATAATCTTCAGAGCCTCCATGCGCTTATCGGGGATGGGTGGCAAACCTCTCAAGGGCGGAGCTGCATAGCCTGCTCGGAAGGGCTTCGGCAACAACTGCGCCGGCGGTCTACAGCGCATCTTCGGGCGAAGGCCCGCTCCACTCTGCACACCTTGGTTGTGAGCAAAAACCTGCACTCGAGAGGAATATGCAGGCATCTGTTCCCTTCTGACATCCTCCATCACCCTCGCCATATGCCAAGCCCGTGTAATTTCTTGCACCACGGTAGCATCAGCAGACAAGTCGAATATGTCTCTCTCGGATGTGAAGATATTAGCCAGATCAGAAGCGGATTCCACTCCCAGCTCAGTCAAAATCCTGAAGCTTGCCTCATGCAGCACAGATGGAATCCCTGCTGGCAAAACCATGGCAAGTCAGAAAGAGCTAAAGGAGCGAATCACCTGCTCGAACCCACTATGGCTACGGAGATGCAGGTCTTACTATAAAAGCACAGAGACCCTCCTGCGCACTATCAACAGAATCCACAAGCTCAAGCAATATCAAAATCGAACAAGGTCTCCGTTTCTCATTTATGGATTATTGGCTTCTGCGGCACCTCTCATTGCGGCCCCTCTTACACCTTCCCATTTTGCAACAAGGTCTTGACTCGGACTCGGAATCAAGACTCGCCAGATACGCGTAGCACACAGAAACACCAGTATGAAGTACCGGTATGGATGGGCAGTGGCTTAGCAGCATGCAGCGCATTGCCTAGACATTGCACGACACATGGTAACATTCCAACACCAAGGCCACATGCTGTTCTTACGTATCTGAGTCCAGTACCAGCTTGGCTAAGTATAGAAGATTTTGGCAAAGGGCAGCCTGACCTAGTATGAGCTAGCGAGATATTACATCACAACTACATAACTGAGCAGCACGCCACCTAGATTCATCCTGATGCAGTGCTTTGGAGTCCAATTGTGGGTGAACGAAGTAGAACGTTCCATGATGCAGTACATTTCAGTTAAAACCTAGTCAGGCACACAGTCGAAAGTGTTCATAAGCTTCAGTGCGCAGCGACCAAAACATCGATATCGTGCTCAGTGTGGGACATGTTGATTCAGTATACCTCGAAATATAACATGAGATATGGTGCATTAAACTGAAGCAAAATAATAATACAAGAGCTTGTGTACAAGATACCCTTTCATATCTTCACATTTCCTAGCAGACTGTTGGCAATTCAGCTGGCATTATGGTAGTTTTGGGTCCGAAAACAACTTCAAGATACATGACAAAATTTGTTACTCTTACGGCATACAGCTTGCAGTAACAGTGTGTATTGCCGTAAACAGGTCACTATGCCATGAAAGACTTAGTGCAACTCGACAAAGATATGCTGCATGGCATTGTGCTATAATATACTTCAGAATCGTCTAGCGCACGCATAGCATGGAATATGACAGCATGCAATAAACAATCGCAACACCTGATGCGACCCAACAGGATACCATGTGCTACAAGTGTATAGGAACGGATGCAACAAATATCAGCGGGCTGAGCTGAAAGGGGGAGGCGGATAGCATGTGTAGCAGTGAAGCACCATGACAAACTCGTACATCGGCCATTCAATAGCGAAACTGTGCAGGGCCCTGCTTTGCTGGAAGCAGTTGATGACTGTCGAGAAGACGCGTCTCAAGCAAGATGCGCTGAATAATCCTTGACGTTCGTGATGCTGCTACTGTACTTGCTCTCTGTGCTTGGTTCAGAGCATCTTGTGGTGTCTTGCAGGCGATGGTGAAACACTCCTGTGCAGAAACAAATATTGCTGCAACAAGTCACTACACATATTCGTGATGGGCTCAACCAGTTGCAGGTGTCCCGCAGCAATATCCAAGACCGCACACGCAAGGAGGCGTGCTTTAGACGGGGATATGGCACATGGGCACGGCAGAATTTAACCCAAAACAATCAGTACTGAAAGAACTTCCTGTAGCTCTGAGCAGGTTCAGACGTTCTACGCTGCATACTATCACTGGTGCCTGTGAGCAGCCGGCAGTCGGTGGCCAAACCCGACTGTGTTCCATAGAGAACCGCCGAGATTTGTGCACCAACAATGTTGCATGGTCAAAGATGGTTCCACACGGGCAAGATGCCTTTGCAGCCTGTCCTGACAAACGAGAGTTTCGTGATTTACCTTTCGCTCATGCGAACATTCCCCGCGAGATCAGTATCGTCACTTTCCTGCCATGCAACAGCCACGAGCAGCTGATGTGAGCAGCACAAGATGCCAGAGAGACCGCCCCTTGGACACTTCATCCAAAAGCTGATCAGCACCTTAGCTCGGAAGTCGTTCTCGGACCACACCGTCGTGCACTGAAGCATTCAGCAGCAGGCTGCCACGCTTGCCGTTCACAGCGACTACTGCATCGCCGCCCTTTACCTCGAGCAATGCAAAAGGGGCCTTGATCACATGTCCGTCCACCACCATATCGGAGCTGAGCTAGTGAGTCTTTGACTTCTGGCCTGCATTTCAGTCGGTTGGTTCTTGTTCCACTCGTTGACAAGGCCGTCTTTTACTTTCCAGACCTGCCAAAACAAGCACTGAAAAACACGGTTACGAGTCTTTCCTGACTCTGCGAGTCCGATCATCGTCTCCGAACGTGCTTGGAAAAATGTCGGAATGAGGCGGAGGGCCTTGAGAACCTTGCCACCAACAACGCTGATGTCTAAGCCTGAAGTTGCTTGCAAACTGCTGAACACTTACCTTGCTTCTCTCTCACCCCATGCGCACCAGCCCATCCCGAATATCTTACGAGCCCAATGCCGATTCGTTGATCATCTGGGCTTTTCTCGATCACAACCTGTCAAAGGATGCCAAAGAGAAGGATGCAGAGGCCCTGAACTACGGCTGTGGTGCACCTCGAACTCTCTGTCGTTGCGCGGGCTTACCTGCTGACGTCGACGAAGCTCTGCGCACTCCGGTGCTGTTCTAAGGGACATGAGGCTCCAGCTGCAGGATCTCCGAACTTGGCCTGACAAGGTTGCAGAGCGGCAGGTAGCATGTTATCCCGTTCACAAAGTCGCAAGAAAGCAGAAAGCAGGTGCTTCCTTCTACCCTGTGCCCACCTCATCAGGCACAGCGACCTTTGGCTTATCGTTCAATCGATCAATGGCAGAATCGACAGCCTGCACCCACTGGAAGCATGAGCATCGGGATGGCACCATGCTACAGCTTGTCTCACTGAATCACTAGAGCAGAGCCGCAAAGGTACCTCGACAGGCTCACCCTGATCCGTGCAGCATCCACACCTCAATGCTAAGCAACTGGCCTCACGCAGACGTTCTGTACCCATGCTCATTCGTTAACTTGGGGCGCTAAGGCTCGCTAAGGGACGCGCAAGAGCGCCATAGCCTCTGCCTGACCGAATACCCAGTCCAAACACCGCACACGAATCGCTTGTCGTTGTCTGGCCTGTCAAGCTGCAGACGCGCTAAGCTGCGACGCTGGATGTCTTGAGCAGAGGTCCACGGTGCGCGAGATGCATGCATGCGTTGGACGAACCGTACCACAGCATCAAGAAGGACAGAGAGAGTGCCCTGAACCGATCTTGCAGATTCTGCTTGTATTGCAGTCAATACCTACACCCAGCATTTGCGCACTGCTTATGAAATGTGGCTAGGTAAGTTAGGCTTTTATCGAACATGTGCTGCTTCGGGCGGCCGTCTTGCACACATCCGAAAAAAGCGGATCCAGCCATGCGGGCCAAATCTCGTGAAACGCAGCATGGACTGACGTAACAGTGAAACGATTCCGTTGACACCGGACAGACGATCTAGTCTGCCGTGGCCGATCTTGAAACCATGTCTGAAGGGCACAAACGTGGTGCTGTGCTCCTCCTCACGATGTCGTTCTGTTCACTGAGAGCCTTTTCAGTGACAAGGTCTCAGATGGAGAACATTAGCTGCACGTTGACCACAAGACTTCGGGCTTGCACCCTCGCTCCGAAACCGCTCTGCAAGTTGAGGATCGAATCATGTCCAGAGCTATCAACACGTCCTTGCCAGTTCCGTGGTCGTGCTTCACTGGCAGGTTTTGGCCAGCACAGGACATGTGCCTGCGTGAAACTGACAGGGAAATACACCTGAGTAACCTACAAACCAAGCCTTGGCAAGCTCGAGCTCGCCGGCTCGCGACCCCTTTTAATGATTCCTGGAGGCAGTAAGAGGAATAGGAGGATCCCTGTTTTATCTTTGTCTAGGGGGGAGTCAGAGGCTTCTGGCAGAGGATCCGCCGACGGGAACCTGTCACAGGCAGCAATGCACCATGTATGCCACTCTGTGTATCACTCATGCAGCCATGCACTTGCCAAGGTATCCACGGTCAATGGCGGCAAGGTTGAGCCTCGGCCGACAGTGCTGCGGTGCGGGGCGAAGGAAAAGGAATGAGGAATGAGTCTCTGGCCTCGACACGCTGACGGAGCCTGTGACAGGGCCGGCACCCCGTCAGGGCATGCTCTCGTTGCATCTCAGACCGTCTGATGACAATCAAAATGATCAAAACAACATGAATGCTAGTGTGGCGTGGGCTCCGCTGCTCAAGCTGATTCGATTCGATGGAGAAACCGAAGCCATTGTATTGCGGCTGCAACAACAGCCGCGTAAACAAAGTGAGGTGTTGCCCAGCTAAGTTTGCATTCGCAGAAGCTTTCTCCAACCAGCATGCCCCACAGATACATCGCTAGCTCACATCCGCAGCACTTCCACTTACACACGGCACAGGGTCCACAATCTACGACCATGTCGAAGTCTAGTCTTCTCGGGGCAGGCCAGACTTCAACTGAGTTTCAAGAGGCCTTCATCCGTTCTGGCTCCAGGCTTGAAGTGTCCTCCTCGGGGCAGAGCAGGACCCTTGAAAACAAAGTGGAGCGTCATCAGGCTTGAACCTCATCCGGATCCGCCTGCTCATCCCATTGCCAGTGGGGATGCTCATCCTGTCACTGAGGCTGACCCCAAGCGCTTGGAACGATCAAGCTCTCCGGAAGCCTCGTCCAGATCCTCATCCACATCATCATAGTCCTCGTCGCCTTCCTCCCAGTGGTTGAGATTGGGCGGCACCGACCTGCATGTTTCAGGCCCCTCCCTGTCCCACGTCGGAGCAAGGCTTTGCTACTGAACCAAGCTCGGAATTCCACGCGCGTGCTGCAAGGACGTTTGGCTCGAACGGCCACGAATCGATGACGTAGGGATTGCAATGAGAACTGCCACCACCTCAAGCACTGCAAGGGTCGGCAGTTTCCATGGCGAAACCAACACTCCCTTGGACTGCTGCTGCTGGTTCTTCCAGTTCCAACATCCCACCTCGGCTCCAAAGACTTCCGCCACAATCCCTAACGCAAGCTCCTCTCCTCAGAAGCCGGCACAGGCTCCTCCCTAGCTTCCTCGTCGTCGTAGACCGGCGCGGGTGCGAGGAACACTTCGCCTGAGAATCGATCCGCCCCGCCCTGGGCTACCGCTCTGCTTCTGACGCTTCAGGTGGAGACCTGCAGGATGCCGCCTCGTCAGTACAGAAAAACACAAGCTCGTCTGCGCCACCTAAGTGCGGCCTCAGGATTTGCATCCCTTCTTGCGAGATGCGTTCACCTCAGCCGTCTGAAGCATCAAAGGCGCAAAGCAAAAGCGACTTTGTTCCGCGGGAGAGCGGCTTTGTTGCAGGTACGCGCGCTGATGCTTTGCAATGCTGGCCCACTGCTGCTCCTCTGCAGAGCCAAAACTGCCAAAAGAGGCATCGAACAGGCCGGGGTGCTTTGCGTGGGGCAGAGTCCTGATGGCGAGCTTCTGCCAAGTTTCCAGAAAGCTCTTTCACCTGACTGACACTACATCTGATCATCATTGGTGAAAGCATCGTGTGTCCCGCCTGGCTCTGGAGCCTCAGGATGGCTTCTGCCTTCAGAAACGGGGATCAAATGGGATGTGCTCAAAACAAAGAAGCATGCGTCTCCAACTGGAACAAAAACACATGCCAGTGCTTGTCGGATCGGGACCACTCCGTGGACAGAAACACACATGCGCATGCACACATCTTTAGGTATCTTTAGGTAGTCTTCCATGCAACTGGAATGGGTGCCGCTTCGAAACATGTCTGGAACAGTGAGGCACCAGATGTGCTTCTCCAAGTGAGAAAACAAATTGAAGACAAATTGATTTCGCTTCAGCTCAGGTCCAGAACCAGGCTCCCGAAAGTGGCATTCAAAACTTCTCTTGATTGATGTGGACGGGCGGGTCAAGGGCCGACACCGACAGGAGTAAGGACAGCTTCTGACTCCTTGGCCTCTCTCTTAGGCTGAATCTGCCTTTGAAAAGCTGCGAGGCAGGTGCTTCTTACATCTCCGATCGAAGCATGCGTAAAAGTTCGGTGCTGGCACCTGCCCATTGTCTTTCACGGTTCTGCAGCATGTCATACCATAACAGTCGGAGCCATCACAAGTCACTCTGGTTGCGAGTACTTCTTACGGTTCATCACACTTGATAATCTGCATACATGGCTTCGAAGCACCCCCGGCACGGCACGTTTGGACTTGCATTCGAGTGTCCGATCCGAACTCGGCGAAAAACCCTGCGAGGCTTCGAGCAGCGCTGGCGCGCTGTTTTCATGTGCCAGTTGCCCCCCACCACGAGCACACGTGTTATCGTGAGCTGAAGAAATTATTTTCGAGGTGCTCGTCGTCGCCACGCCGCTGTTACTGCATGACTATCATGGTCGAACCCGTCGAGCCTGCTCGTGGGGGGTGCGACTTGCGTCGCTCAAGCACGCATTCAGCCTGCACAGTCAAAACACCGCGGTCTCACCGACCGATGCTCGTCGCTGCTCGTTGCTCGGCCTCGCCGTCGCCTCGGTGCGAGCTCCATGCGGCCACGATGCGGCCACACAGCTTCTAAGACGAAGCCATGACCCTGACCCCAGCATCGCACTGAGTTTCACACGGCCCGCGCTTCAGCTGTCTGTTGCCAGAGCCTTCGCAATGCAGTCTTTGGACCGTCTCCGCTGCGTCATCGTTTGCACCACACTTAGGATCAGACTGCTGCCGCGTGTCCCGCAGCTGTCGATGTAGCTCCGTGGTCTGCGCCTCTGCTTTGCCAAGTTTCGGCCAAGGCGACTCAAGAATGCCCAAGAAGCTGACATCTCGTTTTGAGAGGATCCTCTGCAAGGTCACAATGGAATTGCGCTGTGACTCGTCCTGAGATCAGACACAGCTCTTGTATCGACCGCCCTCTCTGTCTTGTTCTCACCGTCCTCGTCTACAAATGCGAGACATTTCTCTGGAGGATCGAGTACAGCGCATTGCCTGAAAGCCCAACTATAGATTACTATAGATGCAACTTCCAATCCTACGCAAAGCCCAACGCAAGCCTGTCGGTCGGTCCAAACCTCGGCGAGGACGAGAAAATTCATTTGAGGGCTTCTCAGGTCTTGGGCTCTGGCATCTTTGGCGGACCCACCTTATGCCACTTCATGCTCTTCATGCTCATGCAGTTCTGAAGCCTGGGATGGCCGGCCTCGTCCCCAATCGGCTCGAGATTTGCAGGAGGCAAAGGCGGCGGCAAGGGCGCCTCCGAAGGACACAAAGAGGAGCGCGCTGACAGCGCGCGCTCCGCGTGCGCTCCGCTGGCGCCTTCCCCAGCAGGCGGTCGGGCGGCAACGCCACGGCTCCGGGCAGCTCCTCGAGAAGCAAAGCGAAGCCACGCGCAGCCACCGCCGCTCTGCTCTCGGCTCTGCTCTTCGCGCTCGCCCTGCACTCGCCATGCGCTCGCCATGCTGTCCGCCGCCTCCGCTCTGCTCTGCTCGGCGTCGCGGTCCGTGCTGCCGCTGCGGTTCGAGGAGCTCGGAGTCCGCCTGAGCACAGGAACCCACTCTGCGCTCCTCTGCACTCCTCCAGGCCGGATGTGCCGCACGTATCCACGGATCCTTTCGACGGCATCTTCGGATGTCCAGTTTCAGGATCCTGGGCAGCAAGACGCCGACGTGGCCACTCGAACTCGAGAAGTGCACTGGTATGACTTGCAATGTCGGATATCCGCGGCCTCCGAGGAGGAAGGCGCTGCCGACTCGCGCAACGTCGAAACCGCGGCCGCCTCCCGGCTCGAAACTCGAAACTGCGGTGTCCACCGTCCACAGTCTAAGAATATCAAGGAAACGACCGAAGGACGATTATTGCAGCAAGATTCGGCGGCCCTCTTGCAGACGCACTGCTTGAAGCCAAGCCGCATTTTTGGACAGCTTCAATATGCCATCCACGCGATCTTCCAGTTCCTCCAACGCACTCATCGCCAAGCACGGGCACTGACAACGACAGCAGCCTGGAATGGGAATTTAGCAATCGACTACAACATCGGACACTCAGCGCAGGATTCGACGTTTTCGTGCCAGCCTGGCGATTTCGTCATTAATCCAAGACCGCGCTGATCACAGATGTGCCATCCAACCAAGCCCATCCGAACTCACCACAAGAAACCGCAAGAGACAATTGACACAACCATTCAGAATCTGCCCGCGTCGCTGTACCCGTCTGTGCCCGTCTGGGCTCATGAAGCTCTCTTCTGCTAGGTATCTTCGTCGAACACTTCCAACCCAGATAGGTCCATCCGGGGCCACAGGCAGCTGCCTGGGCCACGGGGGGGAAGGCATCACAAAACCCTCAGAGGTGCACTCGGGCGCACATTAGGTCGGCATAACTCGCCAACCATCCAGCAGCTGCATAAGCTGCATTAACTTATCAGCTGAAGTGAACAAGTATAGCAAAGAGAACAAAGCAGGGGCGGCGGGCGGGCTTTTGCAGGAGAAACCTGCAATACCCCACACGGCGGCCCACACTCTCAACAAAGCACAAGGCCTGTGCGGCAACACTGACGCGGGGCCGTGGTTTGGGAAGTGTTCGGGGCATGCAGGGCACGCAGGCCTACCTCTCGTAGTAATAGAGTGTAGTAGACGGGTTTGACCGAAGTTTGACCACTCTGCTCTCCATGCCTGCATGTGAACTGCACACATTTACTATGTTTATAGGCAAGAAGAGCTCCGTTGCAAGAACCGCTCCTTCATTGTCGCGCCCTGCTGCGCCTCTGACTCAAGGACCGTCCTTCGTCACGGACTTACTCATTTGCGCACTGCAGGCCAGAATTCGGTCGGGAGACCCTAGAGCTCAACGGTACAGATGCACCACCACATGCGGAGCTCAGGCTGGATCCGAATCTTGTCACAAAGCTGGACAACGTCGCTCAGTGCATTGCTGGCTACCTTGGCTTGGTTTGCCAGAGCCCAATGTCCAGTGTCTGTTCGCACACCCGGGCCGCTGCGGGATCTGGTGTGCCCTTTTCAATGTCCTTGGCGGCATCTGTGCCACCTAGCCAGACAAGGAGTCATCGCTCTCCAACTCGTGTTCGGACCCTTTCTTGTTGACTGCAGCAGCACCTCCGGTCGCTGCAGTCTTGCATGGTTGCACGGCATTTCGCTTCTGAAGCCTTTGCCTGAGCAGAGCGGACGGAGTCAAGCCGAAGCACCACAACACTGCTTCGGTGCAGATGTTTCCGCAAGCCGCTCACGGCCCAGCTATCGTTGGGAACCATGCTAGCAGGTGGAAGGCACTTGACCTTCTTTGAGGCGATCACGCCACATGCTGCTGCACCAAGCCAGCCGTCAGCAGTGCAAGAACCTCGCAAAACGGCAATCATCAAACCGCCTCGGGTACCCTTGCCTGAGGCCAGGACTCCGCCAATAAAAAAGGCCAGGAGGTGGGTTCCGTCGAAGCTATCGCATGACCTGCAGAAAGCTTACAGCAACAGATACGTGGAGCATCTCATTCGTCACTAAGGCTTCTGCATGCTGCGCTAGACCTGCTATTCCGGTGCCTGTGGGAAAGACCAAAGCAGAGCAAGTCGTGTAAGTAGCGCAGAATCATAACAGCAGCCATGCCAACTGAGGTCTGGGCAATGCTCCCCCAAGGCAGCGGCTCATCCGCTCTACTCTACCATCTTCACTGGGGGGCCCCCTGCACAAATCTGGCGGCGGAGAGTTTTGCTCGATCGACGGCCTCTCTCAGATCGCGAGTACAGTCTGCAAGAGTCTTTAGAGCGGCATTCTGAGGACGGTTCTTTATCGAGCACTGCACAGGTACAAGGGTCGTCAAGCGAAGTACAGGAAGATCGGCAGCCACATGCCATAGACCTGATACATCAGCAGCTGGTTGGAGTTGAAGAAAGCAAGCTGCATACTGCAGGATGCTGCAGGATGCTGCAAGATGCTGCAAGATGCTGCAAGATGCTGCAAGTCGCATACTGGGTGCAAGACAAGGCCTGTTGCCTCCGATTTGACGCCAGTCTCGAGCAACGACGAACTCTTCGTGACATTGCTGCCCTGCTCCTCGGAGCAATGGTGATCCCACTACCGCAGAATCTGTGAGTCGATGATGCTGCTCCATGCTCCATGCTCCTCATCATCAGACTCTTCATCGCCACCGCCTCGCAACAGGCGGCATGAACATCGACTCACCCCTTTGACAGTGAGAGATGTCTAGAAGCGATGTTCAATGAACTACGGACCATTGACTGGTGGTGCAGCAAACGGCCGTTTGCAGAGGTCAGGATGACAGCTTCTTGGGTAATGTAAAGGTGCCTCTTCTCGAGAGACCAAGTTCGGCACTGCCAAGCTCGACTTGCACGAACATTCAACGCATTTCTTAAGCACGAAACCGGCTCAAAGAAAGTTTCCTTTCCTTGGTGAGCACAACCTCCCCTGGGAGTTCCACAGCACCAGGCATCACAACCAGGAATTCACCCAATCGAAGCGACGCAAGCGACTGTTGCAGAATCTAGCGTATCGCACATTAAAAAGCTTCAACAACCAAAACTCGCTATGTCCCACACATACCGGCGATGCAATGACTGGCAGCCCAGACTGCAAGCCAGTGATGCAAATTCTCCACACAGCAGTCGCGCACAGAGATCCGCGTGCAACTCAAGTCTTCCCATCGGGTATGTGAAGAAACAAAGCAGGCGTTGGCTGTGAGGCACGTTAGGAGCGTCTAGCAAGTTGGCAGTCTGACTGGCATGCTCCAGACAGCACGGTCCGCGGCTGATCTGTGGGTCTGTAGCTTTTTTGACAGGGCAGGTAGTGGAAGGCAGGGTAGGAGGTCTAGTGGGCTTAAACACCAGAGCCTGTAACTATCTCCAACTCTCTGGGTGGATTCGTCGTATAGCCTGTGCAACTCCTGCGACATGTGGAATCAGATGCCTTGAAAGTTATGCCTGCAAACGATGTCTGCAAGTTTTTTCCAGATTGCCGTCAGGCATGCAAGCTATGGCTATCTGCAAGTAAACAGCAGCTCTTACGGGAAACTGCTCCTGGCCTGGATTAGACATGGTAGGCGGCTCAACATCGTTGGGGGAGACGGCAGCAACCACCGCAATCACTTTCGCCGGAGTGGAGGCATCTGCCCCGACCACTGAGGAAGAGCCAGGCACCTTGCAGCAGCAACATCAACAGCATAGTCTTGGTGTTCACAGAAGCCAATACATTGCTGCAACGTCTGATGGCTCCAAGCCCGTTGAAGCCAAGGGCTTTACAGTTTTGGCAGCTGCAGCGGCGGCTGCAGCAGAGGTCTTGTTGTCTGTAGCACCTGTCACAATCAGTAGCGCATGGCCATGCATGTGATTGGTCAAGAATCCTTTCTGCTCGTCACACGGAGGAAGCCCTGGCAGTGCACTGCACCTTCTGGGCCAGTGTCTCCATGAAAATCCTTGAGCGGCAAGCAAAGGATCACAGATCGATGAGCTAGCGTCATCAGAGCAAACATCACCCCGAGCTGCAGACTACCTTCTTGATCACCCCAGTGCCCTCAGACGAGAGGCGAGCAGTCGAAGTCGAGGCCGAGTTTATGCAGACCCCTTGTGTTTGGGCCCTTTGGGAAGCTCAGCTGAGGTTCCAGGGTGGTTGTGGTCGTCGTCTGGACCATGGCAGTGATGCGGCCGACCTTGACACTCCTTTGCAGTCGGGCAAGCATTGCAAAAGGTTGCGGTCTTCCAGCTCATGAGCCCGGTGCAAGTCCAGGCCCTCATCCATGATGCAGTTCTGAATTTTGAGGCCAGCTATCGTCAAGTCCTGGCTGGGTCGCGTGTTCTGCGATTGCGAGTCATTCCCCGTCACATGAACACTACGGCCTGGTCACGGAGCTTCTCAGCAATTTCATCGGGTGTTCGTTCGTCTTTCGGCGGGACGGTGATGACAAACCTCGTTTGCTGCTGAAACTCTCAGACACGAGCAGAGACAGAGGTCAGAGAGAGATAGAGAGAGAAGCCAAGAAAGAGTTGTGTCACAAAGACTGCGGCCAGGCAGAGACTTCGTTGCTGAAGGCATCCTTGTCATCCAACGGTGTTTCCGGAGGCACCTTCAAAGGCAACTTCAACAGCTGAAATTCAGCATAAGAAACTAGTCAGTGTTCATCACCCTTGCCTCTTCGCCTTCTGCTGGCTGCTGCAATAAGGATTCGACGCGGGTCTGGGCAGCAGCTTCAAAGCATTTCAAGACGACGGTAGGGATGAAGACTGCTCTCTTCTGCATGCAGTCTGTGCACAAGACAGCTTTCGAGGGCAGCAAAACTGAATGCGCCATTCCACAAGGTCCGGTCACTGGGTCACTCTACATATGTCACTCATGCCAAGCTGAGCCTCACTTGGCACCAAGGACACACGAACGCCTGGCACAAAAAAATGCAATCCGAAATGCATCCAGAAGCACTTGACAGCACTTGACATCAATTGACATCTCCAAAGCCGGCAGAAGATCTGCAAGCGAGCAGGGTTTTCTGCTGGTGGGCATGCCTAGGCAGCACAATTGGATAGAGATCACAACAGCAGCGGATCTACGTACGAATTCTTCACCGCGTGAGTAAAGTCGTTCTTCGAAGAACAACTTACCACAAAAAAGTCTCCCAGTGAGGCTAGGATCGGATACGAGGATCCATTCCCACGTCGTTCTTGGTGTATTGAATGTGTTGGCTGTTGTGAGAACGTTTGTGTGAGGCTTCGGCTCAATGAATACCGAATAGCCTATATCACCTGTTTTCCTTTATTGTTGCCACTGCCTTCACTTCTGCACCTACTCCTACTACTCTACCCCCTCCACCTCCGCCTCCCCTGCTTCTGCTGCCGCTGTTACTCGCTGCAGATGTTGCTGCTTCTCCTGTCAAGTGCCCAGAACTTAGCGGCACACCACTGAGCTGCGCGATGGCTTGGAGCAGGCCCTGGCACCACGAAGATCGCGCACTGCGCAAGGCCTGCACCGTGGTCGTGCACCGTGCGCCTCTTCAGAGCGGCGGTCTGCAGAGAAGGATTTCGGGTAGTCCGTTACCATCTCAACGACCTCAGGCAGCTAAGTGTCGGCATTGCCGGCCATCCTCCACTCCGTTTAAGCGCATGGCCCCGGTCACGCGTACTTGCCCAGGAGCTTGATCAAGGACATTCTCTTCGACCTGCAAAGCATCATAAAGCATCGGTCCGAGCAGAATTCGCTGCCCACCAACTGTCCCAGTACGTCCCAGTGCCTCCTCCTGGTCTCCGTCAGCTTTCGCAAGAATCTGGATGACCTTGCGATGGGGCACGAGGCTCAAGGCTGGTGGGGAAGCAACCAGGGGCCCAGGGCCTTGGTCTGGGCATCGAGGCGACCGGCCGCTTCGAGAAGTAGGTTGTTCCTGACGGTGACTGCCTTGAGGTCCTGCGGCCGCGGCCAAGGAAGCTTTAGGCCAGAGACACATATCGCGGGCAGCCCGGTGCCCCTAGCAGCAAGCACTTCCACCTCCTGCCGACAAGCCTGAACAAAATCGATTAAACAAATCCCAGAATGGCCTCTTATGGCCTCTTGTTCTTTCGAGCTCTGTTCTTTTCCCTTACACGAGCCTCAAGGCCTTGTAGCTACCTGGTAGCTACCCGATGCCCCTTTCGGAGGGGCCCAACTGAAAGAAGGAATGTACGGGGCCTGCTTTAGCGTCTGGCGAAAGTCTCGACATGCCCGACAGACTCTCGAACTACCCGTCTCGCTCTCTCCTTTCTTTCTCGGGCTATGAGGGACGAAATCCCCGCGAGAGATAGATTCGGGCCGAATGTGGGACTATGCGCGAGTTCAGCACAGCCACAGGGACCAGCCCCAAATCCCACAACAACCTTTGTCGCTGTTGCATCAGGAAGCTCATGCAAGTACTTGGTCGCTGCTAGCTGCTGTGGCTGGCTTCACGGTGTGCATGCTGTCATTTGGTGTGATGCTGACAAACTGCTGCTCAACTTCATCAATTGCATGCTGGAGCCACGATTGCCCCATCCTGGCATAATTTGGATCTTCGGCAGCAACTTTGGCTGCACCTTCTTGACATCGAGCCTGGCGCCTTGCAAGTTCAGTTCATTCCCTCTCATCTGTCATCTGGACCCTGATCTTCGCCATTCTTTGCCCATATGAGGAGTGGGTATCGGTTTGGAACCAACATGTTGACACAGTTTCAGGACTTTGCCAACGTGAACTGCCCCTTCGGTCCACCATCAAGCCGTGCAACATTTTAATCTGCAGTCAGTGCGCATTCGCGCCCTTGTGAGCTCTATTGTGGGATCGCAAACGGGCGTTATGAGTCTTCTCCCGCAGCAACGTCAACTACCGAGGTCGTTGTCCCCGACGACCCGGGAGGATGACCTGCCGCTGGGCCTGCAGCGCTCCGTCGACAGCGCTGATGAGCTTCTCGTGGGATGGCAGCAGATACTTGCGACCAAAATCTGGGTTTGCCGGTTGAATCGTGCTTCAAGTGAGCCGCTTCTTTCGGGAGCCAGATGCAAGTTCCGATGAAATGTATCGTATCGGGTGGCTCGAACTTCCTGAAATGTTTGTAGTGTCTGGAAAGGCGCGCTTGCCGGTACAGAGTGGTTCGACAGGGCAGTGGATGAACTTTCCTTCACAAACGCTTCCTGCCACACGGCACACAGGCGCTGTGCAGCTTCGACTCATGAGTCAGGCTGTTCGGATTTTTTCAGCAGTTTGAATTCTCTCGTTTGTGTTTGTTTTGCTTCAGCAGGGTCAAAAGCTGCTGCGAGGCTTCTCGTGCTGCCCGGCCTGTCGTGCAGTCGTACAGTAGCCAGGCTCTGCAGGCCATTTGAGTTGCTCCAGCAGTGAGCTTTCGGCTCTTAAGACCTTTTCGGATTCGGCTGGCCGCACTGCTTGCGCCGTGCGTCCGCTTCGGTTGGTGTGTCATAAACCCTAAACTTACAGCCTGGAAGGTCGAGGCAGATGCGCTGCTGCCAGGCTGCTTGGAGCACGACTGGGTGGCCCAATACTCTTCCGGGGGCTCGCGCGATTTCGCGCACTGGCTGTCTTCTTCCAGTCTCTCTCTCTCGCTTGCTGCCGCTTGCTTGTTCCAGCAGGCTCTGGAGCAGGGCCAAGCTCTTCACGCGAAGTTCAGGCCTCCAAGCTTCCGATTAACTCGTGCCCTCACTGCCTGTACCCAAGCCCAATCTTCAATCAGTGTATCGCATGGCCGCTGCACATGACATGGGTCTTACCATTACTTCGTCTGGGATCTGCCACTGTGCTTCTCTAGGTGCCGCCATCTATCGAAACCTTTCCATGCTTCTGCGTGAATTAAAGCAACGTCGCGTCATGCTCGACAAGCAACTGCACGGTCCTCTGCCATCATGGCTTGCGCAATCTTTCTGGCTTCCGCTGTCGCCGTCTCCCGGTTCGGCTGCACTGCCCCTACCAGGCTGAACCTTTGAAATGCTTGTTCAACAGCATTGCAACGGGATTCAAGACTCGTCAACTTGCTGGCATTTATCCTAAGCCCACCGCCAGGAATGGACCTGTCAAGACAGTGGGAGCTGTGAGTTGCTGGCAAAGCTTAGGCAGTCCCACCTCGCCACTCTTGTTTCGAATCGAGTCGCTGGGAATCTTTCGCTTCGCAGCCTGGGGCCCCACGGTGCAACGAGGCCGGGCTGAGGGCTGACAAGTGCACTGCACCTGGCTTTCGGCTGCATCTGCGTCCTCACCAAACTCAGCCTCGTAACGGTAAACCTGCTTGGTTTGGCAGCACGAAACGCCAAGTGTTTCAGAGCTGCAAGCAATCGCACCTGGTCTGGAATGAGTGATGCACGTACACCTGTCGGACTAGTCCAGAGCCCAGACACCGCTAGGATAGACCCTTGCAGCCCACTCAACACACATGTGCGACGAGACCAAAAAGTATTCGTGTCAGGCAGCCCAGCGGAAGTTGATAAACAGTGCGTAAATGAGCGCATCTTGTTCAGTGATGCCAGCGTTGCTATCGATACCCCATGCGAGCGAACAAATTTACCGAGGCAGCCTGCGTCTTGCAAGAAAACACGTCGCGTGCAATTGTTGCCTGGCCTGGCTTGGCAATCCCAGACAGCTCTGCGAGCAACTGTTCAGTTGCCTCCGCACGAGAGTGCAAACATGAGATCAAGACCTGTAGAGTCCGGACCGAAGTAGCCACATGTGTTGAGCCTCTTTGGTTTTCAGGTCTTCTGCGAACTTCAGGGGTTCCGGTACAATCATCTTCACCACCTGTGCGACCGGAGCAACTCAAAGAGACGGGTCTGCAAGGATTATTGCGCAGAAGACGCCGGTCTCGTCAGTGCACATACAACTCTGTGGTGTCTTGTACGCCCGATCCAACGAATCGCAACAGCTTGTCCAGACGTCCCTGTGACTGCACACCGCTGAAGCGTGGAAGCTATGTCTCAGCAGGACACCCCAGTCAATCGCGTGGCATTCGGATTATTCCATGCCGGCAGAGGTGCACCTGCACAGATCTGCACAGCATGTGCGGAGATGCACAGCTAGTTGAAATGCCAGCCAAGCTGGGGCCTGTAGTAGTATTCACCAACACGGTTGAGTCCCTTGGGTCGCATCTCCGTTCAACCCATAAGTATCATTGCATTCCGACCGTCGTTACATTATAAATAAGCACTGAGTTCTCGGCGTTTCCTTGTGGCCATGTGCGTTCACGTACAGTTTGGAGATATTGACGAGTATGAGCACACCTGCACCACTGTCCGAATCTGGCCGCAGCAGGACATCCAGGCCGTTGCATTGCTATGTTTTGTCTCCACCGCCTACTCGCCGAAGCTTGTTGCGCAGGATTCGCCCGGCATATGTCAGATCCTGCGGCAATGGCCAGCTTCGAACATCACACCAGTCTCGGTAAGTGCATCGGTCCTTCTTTGAAATATAGTCCAGCACTGCTGTCAGGTTCGTGGAGTTCGGAACGAGCATGCTGAACCTGATGGCTATCTCATGATACCGGTACGCCAAGATCAGATTGAAAAAGCACTATCATGTTTGGCACGATTGTGCAGTTCCTGCCACTTCCGCAACCAAGCCAACATCATGATAAACACAGGATGACATGCCCGGTATTTGGTCTTTGAGATCCCCTCACGGAGGCATGCAGGCTCAAACACTTGTTTGCAACTCTCCCCAAACATCCATCTGGGGGGTTGTTCTCACACACTCTGATAATGCCTGCTTCTCGCACCCTCAAGAACAAGGAACACGCCACAGCTGGATCCTGAAAGGCTCCATAAGGAAGAAGAGCAGACCCATCTGAAACCGCAAGTCTGCACACGCAGGACTTGTTGCTGGCATTTTGTTCGACAAGCTCCACAAGCTAGCTACAAAATTCGTCGGCTTGGGTCAGAGGTTCCCACCGAGATTCCCTGTTTCCCCACCTCTTAACCCACCCCGCCTTTGGCCACTGAACCCCACCCTCCACTCTTCAAAATGGATTTCGGGTTGGCAACCCCTACGTCCAGAGATTCTGCTGGCAGAGACTGGGCTTGCCGGGAGTACCCCCCCAGGTTTGGGTATTTTTTATGTGGGAAAGTTGTTCCACCCTACACACCCCACCCCCGCCACCCACCCTTCCCTCGTCTCTTCCTTGCGGCGAGGCAAGAGGCGAGCTTACACCATTCGTGAAGGTGAGCTGGCGCAAGCCTGGGAATTCTGCGGCTGTGTCTTGTACTTCGTTGCTTGATTCCCCTTCCAACATATGGGAGGCCGTATTATTATTGAAGTATAGTAACCTCTATGGGATAAGGCAGGGAATGTGCCACCTTTCACATGGGATTATTGCACAGAGCCTCAGCATGAAAACAAATACTCACAGTAAAAGCATTCTGAAGCAAATGCGCTCATTCACTCAAGACCTCACCTGTGTGACCTACCCGCTGCTTGCCGAAACAATGCACCTGCTTCAAGTGCAGCCAGGTCGAGGTGGACGACGCGAAGCGTTTCAAATTAAGAGGCAAGCTCGCCGAGAACTGTTTTCTTCGCAAACGGCTCGTTGTTTGTGTTGCTTTATGTTGTTGACGAACAGAAGAGGAGTGAAGGCCAACATGCCTCGCGAACCTTGCTCCCTGAAGCCCTAGCGGCCCTAGCGGCTGGACTCGTGCTCTTGGAGGTCTGTGCGCCTGGACTGAAAGATCCTGCCCTATGATATATGCGGGCTGCGATGATTCAGGGCTTCTGTTCCAAAAGCCTGGTGCCTGCATCACCGAAACTGTGCGTCTGAGCCAGGCACCAGTTGACCACATCCCGGGGCTTCATGGTATCCGGCATCATCGACACATGGACACCTTCGCAGCAATGAGCAATGAACGGGGACGGACTGGATAGGTTCCTGCTGTGGGCAGCGCGTCGCACGGGCAACTCCGCGAACTCCGCCAATGCCTCGCGACTCACCTCCCCAGGTAAGACTCCAAAAAAGAGTCGCCGTGCGACCCATGCCGGAGCCGGCAACTCGACCCTGCTGCACATTGCACCTGCTCCACCAAGGGATTCGCCGCATAATTTACAGGATCTTCGGTGATGATGTGCATGGCCTCCGCTGCTCTCCCTACACAACTCGTTCCCGGCGGCCATGCGTAGCTAAGCCCCGGACACCAGTGATTTGCGATGCATAGCCTTTCCGGATCAACTCCGCCGTTGTGACCTGTCCACCACCACGAAGCTGTTTCAAACCGCATGGCTCTTGACAGCTGAAACTCACAAGAACGGTGGCTGAGACTAGAAGGATGACCAGTGCGATTGCTGAGAGGCAGACGCAGTCAGTGCCGTTGCAGCCCCCCGTCTGTTACAGGCACAACGTGGACAAACAAGCCAATTGCGGAACAGCGACGGAACGCTGCCTCATGTTTCGGACCGAGGCAGACTTGACCGCCCCGTGCAGCTGGCGTGTCAATGATGCGATAGCGGATGGCCTAGCACCAAGACTCAGCGTAGAACAGAGGCTTCCATCAGCTCGGTTCCAATCTGCCAGTGGCGCGGTCCCCTCACCACATGGCCGGCTGCATTCGGACCTTGCCGAGCAGTCATTCTCACAATCCAAAGGCCACAGGTGCACGTGCCAGATCCTGCAAGCTGGCGCAGTAACACAAGCCCCAGGCCACTGTTCCCAATCAGCATAACCTGGTGCATGGTCATGGTCTGTGAATGCCTTTCAATCGTAAATCTCCCAGGACAAAACTTCATCCGGGAAAAATGAGAAGTTTCGACATCTCCGTAACTGCACATCATGGGTTGTCGACGGATGGGCAGTGTCGTATGAGCAACCTCTTGACTTTCGGCGATATGTAATCTGGAACAAAAAGCAGAGCGACAGCAGAGGACCAAAGAACGATAAGATCCTGAAGAGTTCAGTCCAGCATTGGGCAAATCCTGACTATCCACAGCAGAGCCGCAAAAACTATTGACGGGAAGCTGCACAGACATCTCGTTCAGTCTGCGAAAGCCGGAGAAAGCTCAAGAAGCCTCTTGCTGTTCCCTGTTCACGCCTTTGCGAAATTGAAAACTAGCCTGCAACTCGAAAGTATGAGCATCAACAATGCTAAACACCTCGGATGACGGTATAGCAACAGTAAAGAGAATGCCCATCGATATTTGGTCTCCTCCGAAGAGTCATGTACCGGCCCGAGTATCCTGCTGCAGTCTTGGGGACACATCTCCTCATTGCAAGTCTTCACATCTCTTGTGGAGCCTCGGCCAAAAACGCGCGGTCTGCGTCTGTCTGAGACGGCTTGCAAACCAGGGACTCTGGCCAAAACACTCTTTCCCGCCGTGGGCAGCGGGGGTCGAGATGTTGCGCAAACGATCGGTGATGCCAGCGCCGCAAGATTTCGTGCAAGCCTGCATGGCGACATAAGTGGTGCTTTAACAACCTCTTTTGCTGGTATCCTTTTGCAGACCAGCCATTGCCTTCCATTCGTTCCAATCGGCCCACACACAGTCGATCGGACAGGGTTTTTGACCACACCTTAGACAGCACAACAGTAGCTAGACCACAAACGGCTCTGCTATGTAAGCAGAACACAACTTCTTCTGCTCGTCCTGCCACTCCAAGCCGAAGTCAGCCGACTTTAGCTTCTAGATGCATTATGGAAAACTGATTTGTGTACAACGTTGAACCTTTGATACAGACGCTCAGCATGTACCCTGAGCCAACTTGTACATTCTCCGTTGGCTGCACAAAAGAGCACTGAGACTGACCAAAGTTGAAAATTGTATGGATTTCAGGTGCTCCGCCCTCTACAGGAGCATGATAGACACGCAAACCCTAATCCCTCTCCAGTCCTCTCCGTCACAGGGTCTTCCGCCGGCAGATTCCTTTACAAGCCTCTTCCTTGTGCTCGTAGCCTCGTGGATCAGATATGGCGAAGTCACAGATCTACAGGCACTCCCTTCACAACACTGCGATGACGCCGTGGCACTAGGGATCAGACCCACAAAGAGACGTTGCTCCCACAAGTCTGACCTCGGTTCAATCGAAAAGAAAACACCGCTAATTAACATGTGGACACCTACGCCCATTTCACTTCTACGTTTAAGTTGAAGGATGAGTGACTGCACTCAACTGGTGCGAACAGTTTCTCCCTCTTTGCACGAGTCGTGCATGCGCAGAAGAGCGTGGTGGAGCAAGGTGGAATCTTGAATTCTCAACTCCGAACGGCAGAGCATCAACGGAAACAACCCCGAAGGCGCCTCGGTCGGCTGTACAGGCAGATTTGTACTGTGCTCTGCATGTGCCATTACGGTTTATCTGATACGGCCGCTGTGCCTCTGCCATTCTCCTCTGAGGATAGTTGATGGTGAGAAACCTTTACGTCAATGAGCCGACCTCAACCCTTGAACGAGCACAAAGCCGAGACTGCGTGCCCACCTTTACTGACCCGCGCCCTCACGAGCTTCCACTGAACCCAGAACCCTGTCTGGGGGCAACACCCTTTCAGGCTGTGTCTCTGGCGGTCGTTACAGCTATGTTTGCCGACAGGGGCAACAGAATGTAAACCCTCCCACACCCGTCATGCTCTCAGAAAACATGAAAACAAAGTGAATGATATGCCCCCCAATGCAATCAGCCAGCATGTCGCCCAGTGCCGAGCAACAAGGAGGGGTGAAGCGAATCTCAAATCTCGGCCTGCCTTCTGTCCTTACTTCCCTCCTTACTTGAATCCTGTCCTTCTTTCCTTCCTTCCTTCAAGTCTTTGTCTTTCTATGTCTCTCTCCATCTATGCACGGGGTGAAGTCATTCATCAAACTTGACAAGCATGTCCGAGGGCGGAACTGCAGTGAGACCAATGGCTCCAATCGCCCCAACTGCAGTCCACCGGGCAAACTTTTTCTGTGCAAGGCACCTCCTGCCAGCACATACTGTTTCTAGGTTTGGTGCTGCATCAATCTCACGCCCTAGAGCAGATCGTGACCAGCTCCTCCTCCAACGGTTCACTGCACGGTCGGCCACCGCCTTCCTGAGAGTGATAGCAGGCATTCCTTGATTTCACAAGCTCACGCGTGCTGATGCTGACTGCCTCTTTCACCAAGACTTTGCGCTCTCGCAGACTTGTGCCGTTGCCGCAAGTCACCGAACCTCGGAATACTGCATGCTACATGTTTGTTGTCCCATTACTTGCAAGGGCTGGGAAGCCGCGCAGGCTTTCCAGTTGCTCCAGTCTGCAAGTACGCAATCCTGGGATTGCAAAAAGCAATTGCATCAAGCAATGTGGAATCACTTCTTGGCTCAGGACCGTTGGACACGCCTAGCATGGCTGGATTTCATGCTTATGACATATCTTGCAACTGAAAGCAGGGGGTTGAAAACTCACATGCTGTCGGGCCTTGACGTTGCAGACCTCCTCGTCCTGAGTGGCTCCTTCGCATTTTTTGCCTGGGTTGAGAGCTGGTTGTGAGAAGGAATGAATAGATGCAGAGCAGACTTTCACGCAGCGCACCATCGGCAATAGCAGCTTCTGCTATGGACCTGCTCCGCCTGGCAAAATCCAAAATCTTGGTCAGTTGTATGGCGCAATTCGATCCAAGCTGTGCCAGCAGTGCAACTTTACTCCACCAGCACAGGTTGTGGAGCACTCACCCCATTTGGTCCAGTCCTCGGCACACGGAGCAATTGGCAAGGTCAAATTCTGGGATTCGTTGAGGCACAGGCCGCCCATGTGCAGTCCCGCGGACATGGGCTGGTGCCACAGTCCTACCGCTTCAAAACGTGGCTGAACGAAGACCAACATAAAGCAGAGGAGGGGTTCTATCGGGAGAAAGTTGCTTGGAACGGGACGTCAGAGGGTGAGGACTTTCCTATACGAGTAGAATACCCTCAATCATAATAGCAGTGACAGCTTGCCGACAAAATCATAAAAGAAGCATCTACTGCTTCGAGTGCACATGACAGCGCTGCGAGTGAGGACACGTAGGCCGACTGGCAGGGCACAGCAGTCTCGCCACGAAGGGCAATCACTGATGCAGGGAAGATGATGTCAAGTGTTGAAGCTCATACACCGCAGGCGCACTCTGGAGCCATGCTAGGAGCCGCGAGTAGACTCGCGGCTTCCAGGAACCCAGGCGAGCGGGACAGAGTAAGGGAGGCCAGGGAGCCTTGGGACAGCAGCCAACACACCCAGCTCGGATCCACGCCCGAAACGCGACTCGAAAAGAGACATGAGACTGTATGGAAATCCACAAGGACAGGAAGCAGGCTTGGACAGCGAAGGCCACACCATGTTCACAAAGCGCAACAAATCGCTTCTACTTTACAATGATACGTCCTCCACCTGAATGCCTTCTGCCATGTTGCATGGCCTCTGCCAAGACTGCAACGCAAAATCTCGAAGCACCCGGGTGGCTGGGTGCTCGGCTTTCCGAGGCTGTTGTTCTGCACCTTGATGGGCTTACCTCTCTGCCGTGTACCACCGTCACACGATGCCGTGCCTGCAGGTGTTTTCCAGAAGAATCAGTGGGTTCTGGGTTGTCGGCTCTGAGGTCGAAGCAGTGGCTCCAATCACTCCAAACACCCCAGCCGCAGTCCACCGGGCAATCCACTTCATTGCAGTGGTCGAAGTCCTGTTTCATCAGCATGGCAAGACTTCCGAGGACTTGAACCTCCAGATTTCTTCTCCCCTGGGGCACACGCATACAAGGATAAGGGGAGTGAGAGAGAGAGAGAGAGGGAGTGAAGACAAGTCATGGACCGTTTTTTGTTGAAACAGTCTCGCTCGTTTCGTCCCGTAACTCAGCCTGTACAACCTGAAGCGCCGGGAAGAAGTGCGGTTCAACGTGACCATGCCACGCTCAGTGGGCTGCAATCGGAACAGCCTGCCACATGAATACCTCAGCTTCTCCAGACGTGGAGATGCAATGAAGGACAGGCGTTTGAGATTCGGGCCGGAACGGCAGGCACCCACACAACAGCGCGAGGAGATTGTGGCGGAGTGGACTCGGGTGTTGCCGGCCATAGCTGGCTGGCCTTTCATTTTTGTTCAGCGCTGATGAAGTCTCGAGACTCCCGTGGATTAAGACATTGCGGGCACCTCGTCTTGGCGGTCAACCTGCCACGCTTGCCACTCACCAACCTTTCTCGGCTTCCCCCCGACCCGAACCTCGGCGACAAGATCCTCACCAAGTGTTGGCGGGCACGAAGCCGCTCGGACAAGGACGTCATCGTCTGAAGCCTGTCAAAGGCCCCTCCAGAGCATCCAAACCTTCTACAGCTGCTGAGCAGCAACCCACCTCGTCGCGATTGTCCACGGCGAGTCCACAGACCGAGTCGTCATCCACGTCCGACACGCCAATGTCCACTTGAGGTGGCTGACTTGTTTGCATCTCCATCTGACTCAAGTCCTCAATGGCCGTTGTGGAGCTGTACGAAATCTCCACCTCCAGAGATTGTGGAGGTAGAGGTCTTTGCGTTCCCGACGCCTCCAGACGGTCCACACCGTAGCAGCTCGTATGAGACAACTTCATGGTGGCTGGCAGCGCAAATGGCAACGAAAAGTCAAGCTCTGCAGGCCTCCATGTTGGAATTTCTGGTCTGGGACTTCGTCTTGGCCATTCGCTTCTTGCGCTTCTTCCTGACATGCAGCGTGCCGGCATGAGGCTTTCATGGCACTCTGCTTACTCTGCTGGCCTGTTGCGCTTGTCAGGCTCGTCGAACTGCGCCAATCTCACGCACGTGCAAACCACATCAAAGCCATACACTCACTAAAAAAGTTGCAAGACGTCGCAACTACGGCAAGTGGTGTCCAATGCTGAGATTTGCACAGCTCATCGAGGTCACGAAGATCCTGCCAAAGACATAGCATGGCAGGATGCTGCTGTAAATTCAGCCAAGGAGCCATATCACAAAATGTCAAGTATCAGTCGGCCTCCTGCCATGCGGAAGTCTTTGGTGTCTCGATTTCTACCACCTCGTTGGCTGTGCAAGAGTCTCTGTGCGAGAACATGAGGAGAACATGCACTCAGACGCGCGCATTCAATCGGAGAAGCATCACAGAAGCACTGTGGGTGGACCTCGGGACAACTATCTTCTCAGTCTAGTTTGAACACACGGCCACTTCATGTAATCAATTTGCCTTGTGGCTGTTGTCTGGAAGGTCCGGAAAGTCTCCTCCTGGTGAAGATCCAGGGGAGATCTCTAATCATCCATGGATGACATCAGCATCTCATCCAGTCCGACAAGACTACAGAAGCTCCGTCTTGGTCCAAATACCTCCACCAAAGCAAAATAGAGGATTGCATGCAGCATGCAGCACCGGCGCCACAAGCCTGGCCTAGACCGCGAGTCAAGGCCGCAGAGGTCAGCTGCTGCTGCTTTCACGGCCTCCTGCATGTCTCAGGTCTGACGAACCTGCTCCGAAAAACGCAAAGCTGGGAAGCTGGCATAGTCCAACTCGTCCGGGCTCTTCTCGAACAGCACACGAAAGATTTGGCCTCCACCTAACATCCGGTACAGTAATTGAACAAGAAATCCTGTCATCCTCCAACTGCAGACAGAGCCTCGCACTTGTAATCTTGAGCACAGTGCTCACCATTCCGTAAGTCGGGATCGAATTGCAGCTTCAAGCGATCTCGCGGATCAACGTCAACTAGAATGAAGAAGGACAACGCCTTTCAGCCGGCAGGACAACGCCTTACAAAGCCTCTCAACAGTTTTGAGCCCGGCCGCAGAACAACAGTACAATACAGTATGCAAAGTGGCAAAGCCATTGGGTTGCAGGGGAGTCGGCATGGGGAAAATAACAGCGATGGTCCTCGGAGGCTCCATCGCACCTGGCAACGTCTTGTCTGCTCTGCATGTTGGCAACCAGCTCTACTGGAAAATGGATGAACCCTGCTGTGCAGGAGAAACGAGGAATCGAGCAGGGCGGCACTCCAGGCCCCCGTGTCGTGGCTGCAACGCCACAGTTCTTTTGCGACCTCAAGGCAGGAGAAGAAGATTTGCAGAAACACAGGGACATGTTCATGCATGCAGAATTCAGTGTCTGACTCTTCCATCCCTGACCACAACTCTTGGAGCAGTAGGACCACGGACTCCAGTCGTACCACCTTCGGGGCAATGCGAAGCTTTCCCGGAAGTCGAAACAGAAGATGATGATGCGGCCTGCAGTCCTGCTGTTCACCTGCATGCTGGCTGGATTCGCTGGATTGCGCCTCAGTTTGTGTGCGAGTTCAACGGCACACAACACGATGAACTCCGAGAGCTGGACGAATGGCGGTTGCGTGACAGTGACGTTGAAGAGAACATCATCGAAGGGAACAGTCTTTTCCTCAGCGCAGCAGCAGGTCGCGGAGCTCAACAACCAGATCTCGCTGAGTTTCAAGCAAGACCTGCTGCTGGTACCTCTACAGACTCTTCCTGCAGCGAACATTCCACGGAGTGCTGTTGAAAGTCTGATCATTCGAACGGGTGCAGTGAACGAATCTGCCTGTGTCTTTTCTGCACGCATTATTCTTCGGCCTACAGCCGGAGAAGATGCAGCACTGCGAAAGACAGCATTCTGAAACACGGGAATCTGCACTCGAGGCCCAGACTGACCGCTGCAGCCCCGTCCTGGTGCGGGTTTGATGCAGGCCAGGTTGTGTTCCGGCTTTCCAAAAACATTTAGGATCTTGAAGTCAAAGTCGAGCCCAAAACAAGAAACACTCTCAGGAAAAACCACAACACGTGACACCGAATACTCAACAATTGCCATGGTGACCATGACGTCCGCTGTAGCCTCGTCGCTCAGGGAAGCGTCTTCCCGCGAGTCTGTGTCACCTGCACGGGCCCAATACGTCACATCACTAGTCCGACAAACAGGTATATGTGCAACTTGGCAAATGCCACCTTTGCTGTGCGATCGCACTGTCGATGCGATGGCGACATTCCACAACAGCTTGCTGGGCAGCAGAATGCCCAACCAAAGCCTTCGTCCAAACTGTCGAACGGGAGACGCCGTCTTCCATGAATGAGCAACACGGCGCCTTTTGTTGCCGAGCACCATCATGTCATAAAGACAGCCTGGGGGACAGCAAGAAATGCACAGGCTCACCCTCTGCTTGATAAGGCTGGCACGGTTGAATGGGCTGAAATATGGAACGACGAGAATGTCTCAAAACACAATGAATTAAACACCCTATCTTTAACAGAGCCGAGAATCCACGAGACATGACATGTCATCCCAGCTTCGTCTGCAAATCAAAATGTACGACAAGCAGCGAATTTGACCGCAATAAACAAAGTGTTTCGAAACACGTTCAGCTTGTGGGGATGCTAATTTATGCCAGATGGCTTCTTTAAATCTTTCCGTGTCAACATGGCACTCTCGATTCCATAAGCAAAACGGATAACAACATGAAACTTTGCCTTCAAGCGGAGGACTTGAAGCCCACCGACTTCGAGACCGCTATGCAAATTTCATCAGTACCACCGCTTCACCCAGCTGTCGCCGAACTGACAAAGCACGTGATATTCCATTCACGTAGCTGCAAAAAGAGGCTGTTTCGGGTTTACGAGACTGTTCGTTTCACGTCTTTGTCCCGCCGTGCTTCTTGCACTGGTGGATAGCATGCGAAACGAAGCTTTGGAGCCGACTGCTTGAAAAGCATGTGAAGGGACAGTCTGGCGTATTGCACAAAGGACTCGTGTTACGACTGTGCTTTCTGTTTTTTGCTGATTTAGGCTTCACTTTGCTTTCTTTCGATTGGACGAATCAAATGGAACCTGACCAAGTGCTGCCCTTGCAGTGGACACGTTTTGGAAGGGTTTTTTGGTCTGGAAATTGAGCCCGTCAAATTGGCCAAAAACTGAATTATTCGGCAAAAAAAGAATGTGGTCGCGCCGACAAGATGTAAAGGCAAACCGGAGACATGCTGACGTTGGAGTGTTGACGTGCAGCAACAAGTGCAAGCGGAACAGCCCGATCTTTTCAGGTTAGATTTTTTTGGCGTGGTCAGGCCTCGTCGATGGCGGCTGCCGCACTCGGTTCTAAGGAAATCGAGAATAGCAACTAAGAACAAGAAAGCCACTAAAAGCGGTGAAACAAGCTGCGACTACAGACTTAGCTGGAAAAAGTCTTTCAGCAGTGAATTACCGGTCTCAAATTAACATTAGCCTCGCCAGATGCCCTGCTTTCCAGATTTCAGGGTCGCGTAATTTCAAGTCATCGCCCGCTTTCCGTGAAGCATGGGTCGCACAATGGCCAAGACTGACAACTGCAAGGGAGCAAAGCAGCCCGCTGCAAGTAAGCATGCAGCGCCCAAACGGCAACAAGCCCGCATGTAACCATCCCCATGATACAAGACAAATTTCCGAGATTGCAGACTGCCTGCGCAACACCACAAAGAGCTTGCAGAAGTGAAATAAGGCGTCCAGACGAACAGAACCACCGGTTGCAACCAACAAGTCGACTTATTTGCATAGATCGCTTGACGCGAGAGTACACGGCACTTAATGGCCGGCCGCAAACTGGATCGGCTCAAGAGTGTCCAAAAGACACCGCCACGCGTTGTCGAACCAGTCACTTTGCACACGCTCCAAGTTCAGATAGGCTTGCACTGCT